TTGGCGGAACAGGCTCTGAAGGGTCGCTCCAAGAAGCTCCTGGGAGGCCCCAAGAGGCCCCCAAGAAGCCCAAAAAGGCTCTCAAGAGGCCCCCAAGAGGCCCCCCAAGAGGCCCCCAAGAGCCCCCCAAAGGGTCCAAAAGACGCGCCCAAACGGACCCCCAAGCCCTTGCAAAATGCACGAAATCAGTTATTATTTCATTAGTTCCCGGGGGGGGGGGGACTGGTACCAAGGCGCCCAAGAGAGAAGGGTGACGTAAATAACTCGACACCAAGGCTCCCAAGAGCGAGCGGCAACGCAACAATCTCCACTGGCATCGTCAGAACAACAATCACCACTGTTGCCCATTGCTGGCCCCCTCCCCCCCAACCTCCTTATCACCCGCAGGTTGGTCGCATAGGTAAAAGATACTCAAAAAACTTCAAACAAAAATCAAAAAAAACGTCCCGAGACTATTTCTGACTATTTGGGAAATTCCTCCTGTAGAGGAACAGGCCCGACTGAACACTACTCCACCTGTGCTCAGTGGTCACTGGGCCCAACGCTCGAAAGGCTTGACTGGCACCGCGAGCCTTGTGCTGCCAGCGCCCATCCGCGGCGGGGACGAAGGGAAGGAACTCAAAGGTTCACGTCGTTAGAGACCTCCTAGATGGGGTCCGAGTAGATGGGGTCGGAGGATCGCGCCGCATCGGCAATTCATCACCGATGCATCGGCGATGCATCGGCGACGTCAGCGTGGAGAACATCGGGCCCCATATCGAGCCGCATCGCTGATGCATCGCCGATGCATCGGCGATGCATCGTCGATGCGGCGTGATCCTCCGACCCCATCCACTCCGACCCCATCTGGGAGGCGCAGAGTCGTGGACTTCAGCTCCCCCCACGGATCGCGGGCAGGACTTGCGGGGAGGGCGGCAGTCCGCTCGCCCAATGAGACGAAGCTTGGATCGGAACGAGATCGGATCGGAGCACACCGGGGATCTGCGATAGCCGGCAGGCCCGGATGGAGGACGCACGCACATCGGGCGCCGCGGTCTTCTCGGAGCACTGCAGGACGCTCCGCGAGCGTTCCAGGACGATCCGCAGCGAGCTGATCCCGATCCTAGAGCTGCCTGACACACCCCCGACGCGGGGGACGCGACGACCCTGCGAGCGGGACGGGGTGGTCGCAGGGGAGCCACCGGTCGGCGCCCTGCACCCGGTTAGGGGCCATCATGGCTTCTTCTGTTGGGATGGGTCGTGGGCCCCAGGGGAGAAGAACGGGATGCCTGTCCACAGCCAGAGGACAGAGATCCTACGCCGTCCTCCTGTCATGGATATATGGCTCCATCTAGAACTCGCTGGCTTCCTGACTGATCTCAAGCGTAGCATGCCTTCTCCTCCTTTCCCTCCTTCATCCTTCCCCCTCCCTCCCCCCTCACCACCCTCCCTCACCCATCCTCCATCCTCCATCCTCCTTCCCTCCCTCCCTCCTTCTCTCCCTCACTCCTCCTTCCCTTCCCCTCCCTGCATCCATCTCACCCTCCCTTCGCACCATCTCACCTCCCCTCCTCACATCGCTCATCTCTCCTATCTCCTCCATCGTCCTCCTTGTCCGCATCCTTCTCAACCGCCCTCCTCATCAACATCATCAGCACCAACATCAGCATCCTCATCCTCATCCTCACCATCATCCTCCGTCTACTCCTCATCCGCCTGCTCCTCCTTCTACTCCACCTCCTCCTCCAACTCCTCAACCTGCTCCTCGTCCTCCGCCGCCTCCTCCTCGTCCACCTGTTCCTCCCCACCGTCCTCCTGTCCGCCTCCGCATCCGCCTCCCGCTCCTCCTCCTCCCCCGCCCCCTCCTTCTCCTCCTCCTCCTCCTCCTCCTCCTCCTCCTCCTCCTCCTCCAGATCCGCCTCATCCTCCACCTCGAAAGGGGCCCTGGGACACACAAATAAATACACACAAATAAGAGGATTCCCCACAGTTTGACAATATCTTTTGGATTCTCGTCTTCCCCCCCGCTTCCCACATTTTCCCACATCTCCTGGGGGATCGACGATGAATTGTGCCTGTGCGTGTTTTTCCCTCCTGAACCTCCTCATGCTGCACCTCCGCTTCCCCCTGTGGGCATCCTGGCTCCGGGCAGGCCCGAGGCCTGGGCCCTCCGGCGCGACGCGCTCGGAGAGTGGGTGGACTTCGGGCCCTCGGCGGACGGCCTTCCGCCGCTGCTGCCAGAGGGGGCAGAGGCGCGAGCCGTCCTCCTCCGCAGCGAGGCTCTGCGAAGTCTGTGCGAGTGGAACTCTGACTACCTACCAGACCACCCCAACCCAACCCGAAGACCCGAATTTCGGGTTGGGGGGGGGCATGGGCTCCATACGTATTTTTGTCGATGTTCCCCGACCCCCCCCCACTGGAAGGGGAGGGCAAATTGAGGCCTTCGGGTTGGGTTGGGGTGGTCTGGCGGGTGGTGAAACTCTGGAGTCCCGAAACGGTGCGGTGACAGACCGTGGCGGTGGCCTCGGAATCCCCCAAGACCTCACCGCACGGTCCGTCGCCGCACGGTCTCGGGACCCTGGAGGCCCCTGTCGCCCGAGGCGTCCTCGGAGAAAGACCCGAGTCCCAAAACCGTACGGTGACCCCGAATCCCCACCGACTCACCGCACGGTGTGGTCACCGCCCCGTTTGGGGGCCCCCGAGACTGGAATCCGCTGCGCAGGCCTTCCGGCTGGGGCCAGGAGCACAGTCGGAGCTGCGCACTCTGCGTCGCAGACAGAGCCGACTCCCCCGCGCGGACCAGGCGTGACAGCGATGCCGTGAGGAGCGCGAGCCCTGCGCTCGACAGGCTGGCTCTTCCGGCGGCTGCGAGCTCGCGGCCCAGTCCCGCAGGAGGCCGCGCGCCCGAGGTCGTCCGCGGCCCCTCCGCCTTCTCCTCCGGCCCGCGCGCTGCCCCGGGCGGTCTGGGGGGAGACCGCGGTGGCGGACGCCCCGGAGGCAGAGGAGCTGCAGCGCGGCGTCGCGGAGAGGGCCGCGGAGCGGCGCGAGGCCGGCAGGGGGGCACGGCGGACGCACGGCGGCAGGAGCCGCAGGCAGAGCCGGGGAGGCCGCGGGCCGAGGTGTGGGCCACGGGTCTCCGCGGCAGGAGGAGCAGGCCACACGGGCGTGCGTCCTTCCAGAGGGCGCTGCCAGGGGGGACGCTTGAGGGACCTCGGGGGCGGGAGGGTGCACTCCAGCGTCGTCGCCGCATCGTGGGTTCACGCTGGTCCTCCTCCTCCCCCTCCCTCCGCCGCATCATCCCTCCTCGCAGTCCTCCATGTGCCGGCGCAACGGGAGCACGCCAACCAGCATCCTCACTTCCCCTCCCAGCACGGCTTCCCCTCCCCATCCTATCCCTCCCCCCCCCCCGAGGGGGAATGCTAGGGGGGACCCGCTCGGGGGCGGAAGCATCCAGCCAGGATCTGCGATCCATCGTCGATCTCTCGTCGGTAGGCCCCCGAGAGCAAATCCGCACACTCCTGGGGGGGAGCCATCCATCGGGCCACTATCAACGACGGATGGGCGACTGGGGGTCGACGCATCCCCCCACGAGCCGCCCAGCCCACCCCCGCCCCTCACGCTGCCCCTGGCCTCCCCCCCTCCACCCTCCAGACTCCTATCCACGCACCTCCAGAACCCGGCGGGGGGGGGAGAGGGAGACCACCACATCGGGCGCCTGGTGGCCCATCGGGCGCCGCCCCAGCAGGCTGGTAAAACCAAAAGTGCAATTGCATTCAAAGAACCCAGCTATGCCGATCCCAACCAGTATAGCAGAAACGATGTGTCACGCGCGGCGCCTCCGAGGCTCGTCCTCCGCGCGGCGCCTCGAAGGCTCGTCCTCATCATCCGCATCCTCAGCCGCATCCTTCTCGGAATCATCATACCATCCTCGTATCATCTTTATATCAGCATCATCATCATCATCATCATCATCATCATCATCATCATCATCATCATCATCATCATCATCAGCATCATCAGCATCATCAGCATCATCAGCATCAGCATCAGCATCATCATCATCGTCGTCATCATCATCACCATCATCATCATCATCATCATCATCAGCAGCATCATCATCATCATCATCATCATCATCATCATCATCATCGTCATCATCATCACCACCATCGTCATCATCATCATCATCATCAGCATCATCATCATCAGCATCATCAGCATCATCAGCATCGTCGTCATCCTCTTCATCCTTGTCCTCCTCATCCTCCTTCTCCTCATCATCTCCATCATCCTGTTATTCCTCCTCCTCCTCATCCTCTTCCTCCCCCGTCTCCTCTTCATCCTCATCCTCATCTCCCGCCGTCTGACCCTAATCCCCATCCTCATCTTCGTCCGAAGATTCATCATCATCGTCATCCGCCTCCTCGTCCTCATCCTCATACTCCTCCTCCACCTCCTCGTCCTCCTCGTCTTCCTCATCCCCTTCCCTCCTCATCATCCCTCCCATCTGTCCTCCATGTGCCAGCTCCACGGGAGCACACCTACCAACCTCCTCGCCTCCCCTCCCATCACTCCCTCCCCTCCCCTCCCCTCCCTCCCCCCTTCGGGGGAACGCTACGGGGGGCTGGGAACGTTGGGGGGGACCGGCTCGGGGGCGGAGGCAGCAGGCCAGAATCTGCGATGCATCGCCGATCGCTCGGCGATGGGCCCCCGAGAGCAGATCCGCGCACTCCTGGGGCGGAACCAGCCATCGGGCCGCGATCAACGATGGATGGGCGACTGGGCGTCGAGCCGCCTAGCACCCCCCCCCAGCACCCCAGGCTGCCCGATCTCCCCCCGAGGAGGAGGAGGAGGAGGAGGAGGAGGAGGAGGAGGAGGAGGAGGAGGAGGAGGAGGAGGAGGAGGGGGAGGGAGGAAGGAGGAGGAGGGAGGAAGGATTACCGTTGCCATCCGCCCTCCCAGACTCCTGCCCTCGCTCCTCCAGGGCCCGGCGGGGGCGGGAGAGAGGACGCATCGGGCACCTGGTGGCCCATCGGGCGCCGCCCCAGCCCCCAAGGGGGGGTGGGGCGTGCGCGCGCGCGGCGCGGCGGCCTGGAGGCGTTCCTCTCCCCTGCGGCGGGGGGGCAACGGAAGGCTCCGGAGCGGAGGAGAGGGGAAGGGAGGGGTGGAGGGGAGGGGAGGGGAGAGAGGAGGGAGCGGGGCGGAGCGGAGCGGACTGGAGGGAAGGGGAGCGGAGCGGAGTGGAGAGGGGGGAGGAAGAGAGGAAGGGAGGGAGGAAGGCAGGGAGGGGGCCCCGAAGCGAGGGGGCGAGGGGAAGGCGAGGGGGATGGAGGGAGGGAGGGGGGGGAGGGAGGAGGGGGAGTGGAGGACGGTGGCGAAGGAGAAACAGCATGGAGAACGAAATGGACAGGACGAGAGGGTGAAAACGGAAAGCTGACTCACATCCTTCCCCTCGTCCGACGACGAAGATAACATGCGAACAGACCGGGGGCACACAAACTCCACAAGGTCCGAGCGCCTTCAAGTCCGGAGGATGCCTCTCCAAAGCGATCTAGAACGCACTGATAAGAGGCGGAACGACTTCTCCATGTTCTGAAAGGTCCCCAAACCCCCTTCCCCTCGTGCTTATCCGGGCCCTTCGCTTCTTATATGCCTCTCCTCATGCTCCTCATCCCTCCCACTCATCCCCTGATTCCCTCCCTTGTATTATTAATATTGGTTTTACTATTATCATTAATACGACCACATATATACAAACATACATACATATACACACGTTCTACACATAAAAATATTTAACAAAAAGAATGAGGTATGCGCACATTTCATGGATCCGAGCTGGACGCCCCTCCCTGGCGCGCGAAGCGCGCCAGCGGCGGCGCTGGAGGCGCCGCCAGGGGGCATCAGCGCCGATCCAAGAAATCCGCGCGGAGCTCCAAAAAATCATGATTATGCAGTTGTTTCTTCGACTCCCTCGCCCTCCTTCTTACCTCTTCCGTTTCAAACGTATGTGTCCGCCTGTCTCCTGCTTCCCCCATCCTACCGACGGATCACGCCTCGCGCCAAGCCCCTCGTCGCACACACACACACACACACATTATATATGTTTATCTCTCTCTCTTTTCTCTCTCTCTCTCTCTCTCTGTCTCTTTGTTTCTCTCTCTCTCTCTCTCTCTCTATATATATATATATGTCTCTCTCTCTCTCTCTTTCTCTCGCTCTTTATCTATCTCTTTCTTTCTCTCTCTCTCTCGTTCTCTCTCTCTCTCTCTCTTTCTCTCTCTCTCTCTCTCTCTCTTTCTCTATGTTTCCCTTTTTCTCTCACACAGACACACTTGCAGGTATTGCGGCGTCGCGCCCACGCGCGCAGCGGCGCGGTGTCAGAAAGTCGGGGCACGCACACACACACACACACACACACACACACACACACTCTTGAGAATTGACGGATCCCGATGCCGAAGAATCGACGCGGAAGAGATGCTGTTATGAGCAAGAGGAACGGGATCCCCAGCACATGCAAAGGTGTGAAAATGATGCAACATTGGTGTTACAATTGCCGTGAACTTGCCACATGGACATGGCGATGATATCCGGCAAGCTGATATTAACCAGATCTGTGAGCGCGGGAGGAGGGGCGACGACGTGGCGACGACCCGAAGCACTCCATTTCACACGCGCAAGGTTGGCCCGCGGCGCCAACTCCATTCTTGAGTTACTACACAGCTGCGGATGCACAATATGGCGCAACAGCAGCAGGCGGCGGCGGCACAGAGACGGCAGAGGAAGACGCTAAACAACTCCCCCAGCGGCGGGATGCTAAGGACCAAATGTCCGGCCCACCTCGGAGCTCCACGGGCCCCTGGCACCCCAAGGCACTCTGGCCCCCCTGGCGCCACCCCAAAAAAATTCTACTGCGCCGAGGGCGGGGTGCCGAAATTACCGCTGGAGCTGCCGTGACGGTCGAAGCAGACCGACGAATCCCACATCCAATCAGCGCACGGCATCAAAAGTGAACGCGAATGCTCTGGATACGGAACTGCGTAAACATCCTTCGAGCACGTTGGGGCAACACTGGTTAAACCGTCTCGTCTCATTCTCTGCATCTACCAAAGGCTGAAGTACCCATTGTAGTCGTTCGCGCACCAATATTGCCACTTCTTTTCGGCATTGTTGAAGACCCAATAGTATCGATTCCTTGCGTGCTTGCGCCAGGACGCACCCCAGTTGGCAGCGCCCGCAGCATCTCAGTCCCCGCGAATATCTACGCCAGCTGAACGATTGCGCGCATGGGCTCCATCGGCTGAAGTGATACGCACCCCGCTCCCCGCCAACTAATCATCTGCTTATCCGTGTCCACAATCGGCACGTTGCCTGCGTCTCGGAACGGCGGGGGGGCCAGGGCACGTCGTCGCGCCCTTGCGCACGCTCAAACTGCGGCCCCCGCTTCTCGGCGCCGACGGCGGCACAGGCAGCGCGGAGCGGCGCGGCAGCTGCCCGGGCGGCGAAGGGCGCCGGAGGCGCCGCCCATCAGCGGCCGCAGCTATCTGCGCAGGCAACAGCACAACAGCAGTTTTTGGAAGGCTATTGGTTGGTCATCGGCTCAGCCAGTGGCGCCGCCAGCTGCAGGCTCAGCACTGCCGACTGAGCCAGCAGCGTCCTCCATGACACTCATAGACCACTGTCTGCGGGCCCTCCGCTAACTTGCACCGCAGGATCTGCATCAACAGTACTGGGCGATCGCTGGATAAATCCATCCGCCTCCAAACTTCAGCGATAGCCGCAACAACTTGCATTTCAACATCCGTTCAAAGTCCGATATTGGTTGAACCGATATCGGGTCGCCCGCGCTGTTTGCACGCTCTCCAAATGTCGCGCGGAATCGCGGCAGCATTCTGGTTAGAATTGGAAATCAGTCTGTCCCAAAACTCGGCGTGATCGTCGGTCATCTCTTCGCCCCGGTCAGCCTGGCCCTCGAAATCGATGATACACGCCTGAATCGATCGATCTCGATGCGTTTCGCACTTTTGATCTGAACCGCACTCCAAATCCATGACGCATTACTCGACCGAATCTGACGTTTTGACGGCCCCCCTCATTTCCGCATCCAACGTATAGACATCTCGTTTTGTTCGGGGCAGTGACCTGGACCAGTCCGTCCGGGAAAGCCACGCACCGTCGTCCTGCGATGCTACCTGCGATGCATTCTCGAACAATGCCTCGGATCCGGATTGACCGAACACGTAAATTTATAGCAAATCTTCTTGCCCAGAAATCGCCGGTGCATGTTGCGATTCGTCGATGCAAAATCCTGCGTCGATATTCGCTCCTTCCTTCAAATATCCCACCACGCATTGACGCGCGACCTTCTTTGCGGCATGCACAGATGTCTTAACGGCAACCGCCGCAGCGTGGTCAGTAGATAAATCCGTTAAATCTTGAGATCGTGTCCCAACAGCGATTATTTCTCCAAGGTCCTCCCCCACCTGTGAATCTTCTGCGAATTCCGCCTCTGCGCGGACAGGATTGAACGGAAACCTTTCGTTTTCGTCGCCCCCATCGCTCCGTGGTTCGATGAATGAAACAGCCATAGGACGTTGAACACCCCTCGGATCTGGACTGCTCGGATCAGGCCCCAGGCTCGTCGCGACATCTCTTCCCCTCGCAATTTATCTTGATGCACGGCGAGGGCGGCCCCGGAATCCCTTCGCTTTCGTCACCGGGCAACCCGCTGGCGCGGGCACGGGCTGAACCCCGCCCGCATGGCGCTCGAACTCTGCTCATACTTTGGGCCCAGCAGCGGGTGGATCAGTTCCGCCCGCCGTCAAGTTCCCCTCCCAGATCCCCCAGCCTTCGGCGGGGGCGCACCTTCGCGGGGCGCATATGCCCGGCCAGGCACATACACCAGGGCGGGCACGACAGCGGCGCAGCGGTCTGATCAATCAGCAGCCTTCGCACCATCTCCCATTGGTTTTACGTCAAGAACCTCCTTCTGAAGGGGCCCCAGGCAACGGAATACTGGTTCGTGGAGCACGGGCGGCTTGCCGTCAGCATTCTCAGCCAAACCACGATGGAACAGACCGAGGCCCTTCCGCGAGGTGGGCAAGACCTGCCCTCTGCGTTAAAAGCCACGTTTTATCCTTCTTAATCAATTGTTTTATGTTTATCGTACTCCTGCGAATTGAAATTCGCAGTCATCGAAAAGCCCCCATTGCAGCGAGCGCCTTGTCGTGATCGTTTAATTTTCATTCCTGGCTGGACATGTCTGACATGACTTCGCCTCTAAAGACAGAGATCGACCCCGGCGGTCGGCCGCGGTTCACGGCGCCCACATGAATTATGGAGCCTCAAAACCGACCTTTTGCAACGAAGGCAAAAACGGCGAAATCCCATGAAATAACTACGCACGTTCGCGCAGAGATATCGCCCGCCAGCAGTCCACGGGCGATCAAAGACCTCGCGCTCTGCATCATGCATTGCGACATCGCCGCCTCCAGGCGGATATGTCCGCCTGAATGGAATCGATCTCATGGTTGACCTATGTGTGATCGAAGAATTAGATGCAGTACACTCCTAGTAAATCTTCATCGCGCTGGAAAGCAATCTCCTTGGAACTATCGACCCATTCGGGTCTCAGCCCATAGATCAACGTTCCGTCCAGGGCCACCCGGAATTTGATATTCAAACGCACTGCGTCGTGGAAAACCACAAATGCCCCCCCCCCCCCCCCCACACACACACACACCACCACACACACACACACACACACACACACCACCCACTGCGTTTGAAGCTCCAGGCGCAAGCCCCAGAACTGGCCAGCAATGCTGGGGCCCAAGAGCCCGGACAGAAAAAAACGCTTAGCACGCTCGAAGTGCGCAGCCGCTGAAGGCAAGCCGCCATCGACCGATTGCCCCCGCGAGCGAAGCCAGCGGGGGATCACGCCATGTACGACCTCGCATGCAGCATATTCTATTGCGGGGAGCAGCCTCAATAATTTGGTCGGGCCTTCAAAAAGCACTCGTTTCGTCTCAGGATAACATGCATCTCCCACTTGTGATTCGAGCAGAGCGCACTCGGATGCGACACGCAACAGCGGACCGTGACATG